AAAAAAAACAAAACCTCAAGAACAGTGCCAGGGCCCAGAGGTCAAGCCCTAGGTCTAACACAATAAACAAACAAATAAGTAAATTGTCTCAAAACTAAGGGAAAGGAAAGTAAGTAGATTAGCTAAGCAGCAGCAGCATCACCAGTATATTCAGTGGCTGCCGCTTGAGTTCTAGTTCCCAGAGCCTCACCCCAGATTAAAATAAAATTTTTTTGGGGGGAAGGGCCAGTGGTGGGGCTTGAACTCTGGACCTGGGCTCAAAGAAGCTCAAGGTGAGCACTCTACCACCTGAGCCACAGCACCACTTCCAGCTTTGTGGTGGTTTATTGGAGATAAGAGCCTCTTGGACTTTCCTGCCCGGCCTGACTTTGAACCGCGATCCTCAGATCTCAGCCTCCTGAATGGCCTGGATTACAAGCCTGAGCCACCAGCGCCTGGCTCCCAAATATTTACAAAGGCATTATGGGACCTACTCTTACTATTCATGAGGCGGCGGGGCTTCTTCCGTGGTGGCTCCTGGGAAGTATTCAAGTTATGTATGAAGGGCGCGGGCAGACAAAAAGGCTTATTTGAATATTCACGAGGGGCGGGGCCTCCTCCCGCTGGGGCTCCTGGGAGAGTTCTAAACTAGTCTCGAGGCTGGGGAGCGCCTGGGTGGCGGGAAACCGGCTCTGGAGCTGCTGGGAGCGCCTTCCCCCTTCTGCCGGGCGAGAAAACCCTGAGGAGATTTTCCTTCTTGTTTTTTTTTCCTGAAACATTACAAAAATTGAGGATTCTCTGGTAACCCGACAAAGTTCTTCTCTCCAGTGATTCTTTAGCCGGAAAACGATCGAAATCTGTGGTAAAAAAAAGGAAAAAAACCAACCAAAACAAAAATGTTCCCATCCCCAGCCCTTCCTTGTGGAAAAAAGTTCGTGTTTTTAAGGGGTTAAAAAATGTCTTCGCCAGGTGAATTGCCTTTCCATTAGCCAGCTTCTCCTAGGATCCGAGCAGCTGGGGCGGGTCTCGGGGTGGCGGGAGGTGTTCTTCGAAGGGGTTTTTTTCGTTTTGTTTTTTGTGCCGGACCTGGGGCTTGAACTCGCGGCCTGGGCGCTGATGCTGAGCTGCTCTTTGCTGGAGGCTAGCGCTCTACCATTCGAGCCGCAGCTCCACTTCCGGTGTTTTCTGCGTTGGCATTATAGGCCTGAGCTACCAGTGTCCGGCTCTTCCAAGGTTTTTCTCCAGAAAGTAGGGGAAAGTCCACCCAGTAGCGTTCACACTATCAAGTGCAGTGCTAAAAAGAAAAGGGCTGGGAAGGTGGCTCCGTGGTAGAGCGCTTGCCTCGCATGCATGAGGCGCCGTGGGTTCGATTCCTCAGCACCACATAAGCAGAAAACACCAGAAGTGGCGCCGTGGCTCAAGTGGTAGAGTGCTAGCCTTGAACTGAAGAGCTGAGGGACAGCGCCCAGGCCCAGAGTTCACGACCTACACACACACACACACACACACACACATAAGTAATAATAACAATAGCCGGGCACCAGTGGCTCACACCTGTAATCCTAGCTACTCAGGAGGTTGAAATCTGAGGATCGTGGTTCAAAGCCAGCCTGGGCATTTCAAAAAGTTCCCGAGACACTCTTCTCTCCAATTAATCACTCAAAAACTAGCAGTGGTGCTGAGGCTCAGGTGGTAGAGCACTAGCCTTGAGTACAAAGAGGCTCAGGGACAGTGCCCTGAGTTAAAGCCTCATAAGAGACAGACAGACAGACATACACACACACACACATACACACACACAAATGGGTTAAAGATCATTTTATTACCATTTGGGGTTGTGAATGTCCTTTAGAGGAGTGAGAGAAATAACTTGAGGCACCATTAGGATTTTCGGGGGGGGGGGAAACTTTTCCTCTGAAAACATCAAGGTCTAGAGGGAGGAAAATAAATATTGTAAGGAAAGCCTTAAGTTTCAATAATTTGGGCCTATTATTTTTCAGTCTGCTCAGAGGTTTAACACCATACAGGTCCCTCAGAGGTGAGAGGGGGCTGGGGCAGATGGTCTAGGAGCCCAAGTCACAAGTGAGCCTGTTCCCCAGAGAAACAGGACAAATCAAATTCTAAACTACATCTATATTTAATTATCATGAAAATGCTTTCAGGGGGCTGGGAAGGTGGCTCAGTGGTAGAGCGCTTGCCTTGCATGCCTGAGGGCCTGGGTTCGATTCCTCAGCACCACATAAGCAAAAAGAAAAAAGCCAGAAGTGGTGCTGTGGCTCAAATGGTAGAGCTCTAGCCTTGAGCTGAAGAGCT